CATTTCACTGTTAGGAAGTTTGCTACGGTTATATTTAACCTTAATCGCTCATTTCACTGTTAGGAAGTTTGCTACGGTTATATTTAACCTTAATCCTGGGATAAATAAATTTCGAAATGTGCTTATGAGGAAAAATGAAAAAAGGAAAGAAAAAAATGAAAAAAAAAATAGAGACCAGCTCTGTCGGGCTCCAACTAAGTCATAACTCAAGTTCACGTCAACTAACAATTCACCAAGCCGCGGCTTATTAATTTAGTCAATATAATATTCATAACATAATAACAATAACAAAAAAAAATATTATTATTATTATTGTTATTATTATTATTATCATGATCCTCTTACATTAACCATTTATATATGTTTAAATTTTTAAATTTTGAACTTGTTTATTTTTTTATATAAATTTATAATGCAAGAGATTAATTGACCCCAAGCTCTTATTAATCCTGTTGCTAAATTTGTGAAAGGAAAGGGAAGAAGAAATTGGAAGGGTTTTTATTGATGGAACTATAGAAGTCAACCATCCTTTTTACACTTTAAACAACATGTGGGGCTTGTTCATGAAAAGGAGCTCAGAGAAGCACGGAAGGTGGTATTGTTTGCAACTATTTGGACTATATGGGTTTGGAGGAAGAAATTAATTGGGAAAGAGCGAGACAAGGAAGAGGAGGTATGGGAGCTCATTGAGTATAGGTCTTTCTACTTGTTGAAGGTAAATTTGTTCTCAAATTTGCAACAGGATTTATGGAAGGATGATCCCAAAAAGGCAATAAGGAGGCAAGTTAAGATTTAGTCTTTGTTAATTTGGAACTCAACTGCAACTCAAGATGAATTGACTAATTTGTAAGTGCACAAGTAAGAAAAACCCTTAGAAAATTTGGAACTTAAGTGTAACTCTTTCAAAAGTTTAGGGATAAAATTGCAATAAGAAAAGTTAAAATTGAGACCAAATTGAGTAAAATTGAACTTTGAAGATCAAAGTGTAATGGAACTAGAATTTAAGGGATCAACAGTGTCATTTTACCATTAAATTTTGAACGATTTAAGGGAAGTATGAGGGGAGTTACGATGCCTGGTAAAGGAGGGATGATGATTGCCCCTTTTCTAAAGTTGGGGGATTTTTATAATTCTCTTAAAGTAGAAGAATGGCAATGATTTCTTTTTAAAATTAGGATATTTTTACTGGTATTAATTTTTTGTTGACTAAATTAATTATAAGCAATAACTATTAGTTGACAGATCATAATTATAAATTACATTTGAATAATTAATCCGGTTACCCTAACACATTGTAGTACAAAATAACAATAATGTAGGACGTTAGGTTTATCAAAATCTTCTCCTTATCAACTGGGGTCATATCGATTGCCAAAATGGTTCCAGTTCCATCAGCTAATATCTATTTTTCTTCTTAATCTTCTATTGAGTGATGATATATGAAATTTCTGAATTTAATCGAGAGAACAAAAGACAATGTTAGCGCATATATATATATATATATATATACACACACATATAAAATATGATATTGGGACCAACTTGTATCTAAAAAAAGTACAAATTATTGATTAAAACATAAACTAATCTTTGCTGAACTAATTCATGGTTAATATTTCTCTTTAATTACCAATTTGCCATTATAGTTATCATTAAAATAAGTACTTTATACAGTGAGTGATAAAAACTTTTGTTAGGGTTTAAATTCCATACTTCAATTTAGAGCAGAAAAATTCGTTTCTTCATGAAATCATTGAAGGGAGAATAAAGTGCAGATTCCATTTTGCTTTTGCTTTGGTTTTCAGATTAGGATCACTTTATTCTGTGATTAATAGAATTCTACCGGCGGGGAAAAGAATAAGACAACATAGATGTAAACAATATGGATTTTAAAAGACGTCATCGACAAGTATATATACTATACAAATGATTCAACAAGAAAAACGGAGACCCACGGCAATTTCTAAACACCAAATATACTACAACAATATCCGGTGAAAACCCTACCAACGAACCAAAACTCGAGCTAGGTGGGTGTCCCCGCCAGCTGCTTCAGCTTCGGGCACGCGGAGATCGCTTCCTGTTGCCAAGGTGTTCACATTTCGGTTCAAGCATCTTCTCCAATCAATTTGCTACACATTTTGCGGTTATCTTCTACATCAGGTGTTGTTGAAGAAGCCATTTTATATAAGTCCAGTTTGTAATATTCTTTAGTAATTAAGTGTGTACTCTTGATTTTATTCTAATGATTCATGCTTCTTTCTTTATGTTTTGTAGATTTGCCTATTCCAGTGTCTAAATCATCAAGGCAACAATCGGCATACAGGGCATTTAGCTCAGGTGCGTAGATACACGTAGTTTAATTATGATTTATCCCTTGGCAAAAATGGGGGTTAGTTGTTAGATTCATTGTAATGACTTGACACTAACATTGAATATGGATTGAGGGATTAGAGGGGATGAGGAGGAGAGTGAAAGACATGTCTTTTCTCTTTATGTAGACTATTTCAGTAATGGAGGGGAAGAGATGGAGGGTGATGAAGACCCCTCCAGTCTTTTGTTTCTATGTTTCCAATAATCCTCCCAAATTGGGGAATATTGTCACGGATTCGCTATATATGTGCATTTTTTTAAAAAATTTTAAGAAAATAAATAAATATAAATATTTTATAGAATTTTCTAACTCATATTTCTAGAGCACATGTTAAGCATGCATTTATTATAGCTTTTCACTATTAATTTGCATGTAGGAAAAGAAAAATGTACTTAAATTTTATCAATTTCTAATTAAATTATTCTATTTGATATTAACTGTCTAATTAAATTATTCTATTTGACATTAATATTGAAAATAAAGTTTATTTTTGTAATTTTTGTTACAAATTAATGGTAAAAAAGTGCAGTAAATGCACCATAAAAGCACAACTTAGAAAAACTCATATTTTATTTCAATTATTTATTTAATTAGTAGTAAAATCTAAATATTTGATTTTAATTTTTTAAAATTATTCAATTAAATAAATATATTATCCTTTCGGCTCCTTTAATTTTGTCTATCCAAAATATGGTTAACATCAATAATTTGCTTTCCTTCGCTTCTTCTCACTTTGCTTTCCCTCCCTTCCCTTTCCTTTCCCTTGCTAATTTTATCCAAACAAATAATTTGTTTGATTTGATAAGAGAGGGAAGGGAAGGGAAGGGAAGGGAAGGGGCAGAAATTTCTGTATTGGATAACAAAAATTTGGATGGGAGTGTGGTGGGGAGGGGTTTTCTCTTCTTTATTTTGATTTATTTATTTATTATTATTATTATTTTTTTTTTTTTTGTATTTTAGTATAACGAAAAGAGGAGGGGAAGAGGGGAGGAAAATGAAAAGATGATATAGGATATCAAACCAAACAAGGGGTAAGAGTGAGTTGGATTGAAGGTTTGGGTGGGAGAGGGATGGAGGGAGAAATGGTAGAGTTCTCTCCTTTCCTTGTTTGGCTTAAGTATATGAAAGAGGATAAGGAAGATGGAGAGGCGAGGAGGCCCCTCCACCCCTTGTTTTCCATTACCCCTTGGGCTGGGGATTCTATGCACTGGCTCAACCATTTATTTCTAAAATTAAATATATGTGAAATTTTTTATTTCAATTATTTTATTTTATTTTAATTTATTCTTTTAAAATTATTTAATTAAATAAAAATATTATTTTCCCCTCCTTACTTTTGTTTATCCAAATGAGATTAACACTAATTCTTTCCTTTCCTTTCAAATCCTTCTCTTCCCTTTCATTTGTTAACTTTTACCCAAACATTCCCTAAAGCCTAAAACATTAAAACCAGTGTTCGACTTCCATATTCTCAACCCATTCACTTGGGGAAATCATCTTTCTCCATTTTTTGTTTGTTCCAGAAGTAAACTTCACTTATATTCTCTTTTGAAAATCTCTATGGGAGGAATAAGACACGATGACACCTAAAAACACTTGATTTTAGTTTGATATGT